AAAAGGTTACTGCTTATGTAGATGAGAGTAAGAATGTAGATTTGGTGTATCTGGATTTTCAGAAAGCATTTGACAAGATGACACATAAAAGGCTTGTAAAAAAATTATCCCAAATTGGATAGGAAAGAGGCTGGATGGAAGAAAGCAGAGGGTTGTTACAATTAGAGTTCAGTCAAAATGGATTAATGTTACAAGTGAGGTACCTCAGGGCTCAATCTTAGGACCTTTGCTCTTTTTGATTTACACCAATGACATTGATGAAGGAATGGCCAATAAATTACTTAAATTTGTGTTGTCAGTTATAGTTTGTGTTTTAATGGAACAGTTTGGTCATAGTTGCTGGATTAGAAGAGCTTCTTTAAATTTTATATGAAATACATTGATCGAAACCTTGTGTTGTCAGCTGGTTTGTATTTCAGAAAAACACTCCTGAAGAAGCTGTAAAACAAAATGTAAAGTGTCCATTTAAATAAAAAAACAGAATTTGGTGTTATTAGGTTATTACTTTTAGAATTCAAACATATTTTGTACTCCAGTAAGCACTACAAAAATGAAATATTTCCTTTGTAGTTCATTATTCCTTATTTCATGTGGGTGTCTTATTTTGTTTTCCTGCTATGGGGCCCATTGTGACAGGTCAGTTGAATTGGTAATTGTCCAGCATAGTGATGGCAGGATTTTCAGATGAGGGATTACTTCTGACTTTTTATAACTACTGAGTGATTTAGTTTTTATTAGCTGACTGTAAAGTGTGAGTCTGTAGACGTAAATGTTATTGACAGTATACATTACATCAAACACAGTCATGTAAACATTATGTCTCTCTAAGCCAGTCTAAGTTATTAGTTACAATTTGTGATACATGGAGAGAATGAGATTATTTTAGAAATGTTTAACCAAATTGTTAATCTTCAAAGAAAATAATAACTTATATTTTGTTTAGAACAACTCGCCAACATGCGGTGAACAGCAAAGGTTCAGAGTAGATTCAGGAAGATCATATAAGGATGGATTATCCAATGATAAAAGGAAATTTCAGGGGAAGGACAGTGGAGCTGTAAGGTATCCAAACCAAAGAAATAGTTACTCAGGACAACAGCAAGACATGCATAGGAGCAAGCCTCCTTACAACCAACCTGCTCCTTCTAACAACAGGGGGCAGACATGGCAGGACAACTATTATTCAAGTAAAATATCGGATAATAGCTCAAAGAAAAGTAATGAAAGTGCCACCAATGTTAACAAAACAAATAACCCAAAACAAGGTGAAAGAAGAAGTACTAAAGGCTCCTTTCGTGGTGAGGCAAACAGTACTGAACCAAACCAGAGAGCTTTTAGTAATGGTGTAAAAAGTCAGCCTCGTACAACCCCACCTCAATCGGGGGAGAAGGTGTTAGCCAGGTACTGGGAAGATGGGAAGTGAGCTAATCATAGTCATTTGGATAGTGTATATGTGTCTTAATGTAAG